GTCCTTGTACGGTGTTGGCCAAGGTCAGTTACAAAGTCCAAAGGCCTTGTCAGTTGAGGCTGGAACGGAATAAGAAACAATAGAGAATGTCTCCGAGTTAAGTAGGCACTGCAGGGGTTGATCATTCCTTCCCCTTTCCAAGGTCTTATGGGCATTTCAGGTTTTCTAATTCCAGAAGGCCTCCCGAGGTGGTTGTGTGGTTAATGAGGGTCACCATGCAGTTCACTGCTCGGTCAGACATTGCAGCTCACTTTCCCGCCAGCAGCTCACCATTTGTATCTCCGGTCAGGGAACAGATGGCAGCTTTGAAAGGGAGCTAGAGGTTTGGGGGAAAAGGCAGCAGGAGATGAGAAATGCCTTATGACTACCTCAGTACGTCAGAGGTTTAGCCCTGCTCTGTTCAATAAGGTAGACTCTAGCCACATGTGATTTAAATCTAAGGTAATTCAAGAAAATAAAAATTCAGTTCTTCAGTTGTGCTGGCTGCATTTGAAGTGCTCAATAGCCTCTTGTGGCTGTGGCTACTGAGCAGCTTTGATAGAGAATACTGCCATGATTGGAACTTTTAGTCATTACTTCAGTAAGCATCCTTTGTAGACCTTTAATTTCCAGATTTTTATAGTAGAATGCAAAATTAATGTTTAAGGCAACACACAGGACCTCAAAGGCATTTTTCATTTAGTGATTTCCATCTGTGCCCTTAGACACCTGGATATATCTGCTTCAGACACCTGGATATATCTGCTTCTGCTGTTACAGATCAGTGAGTGGAAAATTTTTTAAAATCTCATTTAATTAGGATATAATAATATTTTGAGCCAGTTCTATTTTCTGATTTGCATATTGATAATCTTTGGTATCCTAGAAGTAAATCCTGTTTTTTTCTTTTAGTATGCTGGGAGACCGAATTACTTTGCAGTTTTTAATTTGTTTATACTGAATGTCATCATTTGCATTGGCAATGAATGCCTGATTAAAAAAACCTCTGAGATAGAGATTCTTTAAGAAAATAATAAAATAGACTGGTCGGTGTAGCTCATGCTGTAATCCCAGCACTTTGGTAGGCCAAGGTGGGCAGATCATGAGGTCAGGAGACCAGCCTGGCCAATATGGTGAAACCCCAATCTCTATCAAAAAATACAAAAATTAGCTGGGTGTGGTGGCACGCACCTGTAGTTTCAGTTACTGGGGAGGCTGAGGTAGGAGGATTACTTGAAACTGGGAGCAGAGGTTGCAGTGAATCAAGATCAGGCCACTGCACTCCAGCCTGGGCAACAGAGCGAAACTCCGTCTCAAAAAATAATAATGAAAACCATGACTTAAGGGAATTCTTCTGGATTTTTTTTTTAATTGGTGGGTGAGTGCAGGTTGTATAAAATGGTGCTATAAACTTCTCATGGATTTAATTGTGTATTCATATTAAGCATGTTGTAGACAAGCTGGGTAAGAAAAGCACCAAAGAAAAATAGCCATGGTTTTGAAGTAGAGAATTGGAGTGGGTTACACAGTCAAAGTGTTTTGGCTTGCTTTGGTTGCCTTTATAGTACCATTGAAAAAACATGAAATCTGCGGCAATTTGTGTGTGAATACATCAGGACGAAACACTAGATGTCAGTGTTGCAGTTTTGACATGCTACCAGAAGCTAGTCAAGATCTTTCTGCTTTTAATCACCATGATAGTTTTTATTGACCCTAACTTTTAAGCCATCTTGCCTCTTTACATTTACTTATTATAGGAAGCACTTTTTCTAAGAATTGTTTCTTTTGTATTAGTATCTGTGTAACGCTACTGACCCTGAAGAGTAAAACATATGTAGTATTAAAATAATATATTTTTCAGCTAACTATGTTCTCCAAACCTTGATTTCCAGTGTACTTTCCGGGGCACACTGGTCCTTTGGAGATGCTTCTTGGGGAGAAGTTTTGTGGCCCTGGAATAAAAAATTCAGCCTTTTATTGGATTAGTTAATAGTGCTGCCAGCTTTTAATTTAGATGCCTTTTGTTTTTAGTGTTATTGTGATATTGTGCCAGAATTGCTAGCCTTTGCTTACCAGTAATAACTAAAATAAGCAGCCCAGGATAACTAAGATCTGTGTGTAAACAAATGCTTATCTTGACTTCTGTAAACCACTGAAGTAACAAACTGAATGACAAAAGTCCCCTGGCCCTTGGAATGTCCAGAGACCCCCACCCTGGTCTTCGCCCAGGAGGTGAATTATAGAATCCCCTGGCCCTTGGAATGTCTGAAACCTTTTCATGCCCATCCCCGCTCCTCACCCCCACTCCCAAGGTGGTTTTTCGGGTATAAAAAGTCTTGGCACCCTCCTTTCGACGCCACAGGTTGGAGAGACTTGAGTCCTCTGTGGTCGCCGGCATAATAAATGACCCTGCAATCTGGCATACTTTTGTCTTGGTGCTAACTTTCTACGCTCGGTCCAGTACAACATTATGAACAATAATAAAGTTCGTTCTTACATATCAACTATATTTGTATGTTAAAGCCTAGAGTCACAAATGTGTTCAGGCTTCTTAAATTGGCCCAGTATATAAGATACACACAAAACTTCAAATTAAATATTTTCCCTAATTTTTTTCTCTTTATTAAGAAATATGCAGCTCTATTAGCGTGATAAAATTGCAAGTGATTTCTTTTTTTTTAACATTTTCTTTTATACTGTTGGCACTTTGTTTTATGCTTTTAAAAATGTGAAATTATATTTTCTTTTTTTATGTAATGTTCAGTTAAATTTTTGAAGATACTTTGTTTTTACTCATGCTCGAGGTTCATTTTTATATAGGCGTGTTTTTACTTCCTACTTCCTAATTTGTTATAAATTTTTATTTGAAATCTATTAATGGTTTTCATCATTTTTGTTTTATGAATTTTCAGCACTGAAAGAATAAACATCATGCAAAAATAGTGCCCAATTTGCAAGTATTATAATCAGTGCTAAAAGTCACGTCTTTTCATGGGTTACCCAAGTCAAGAGAGTGGAGGGGATCACTCTGAAGGCCATAGCTGACTGTGGACTCTCTTCCATTTACTTGCTCATAACAATAGTTGATGTAAAAGGCTGAGAGAATGTTAAAGGCAAATTATGAACATTTTCTTGAAATTATTTAAAGAAGAAACTGAGCCTCAGAGTGGAAAAATAGATAATTTTGAAGCAATAATAAGACCCAATCAATAGATGGTAGAAGCAGCAGTTACCGTTCTGATGCTTGGCTTTGATAAGGGCCAATGGACCCAGAGCAGCCTCACTGAAATGCTGCAGTGCCTTTAGCATATGGAGTTCTTTGTAATCCTCTGCATTTAAGTGAAGGTTCTGATCTGGGTGGGAGGAACAGAAGTGAGTAAAGTAAGGAGCAGCAGGAAACCTGCTTATGCCTTGGCCTTTTTCTTCTAGTGTTTCTTTAAATAATATTTTATCTTAATATTTAAAAAAATACTTAAACTACTAATATTGTTTTGTAGAGGTATTTAGATAGGAAAAGTTTCAGGGAATGGCATTTTCTGTAAGAATCTTTTGAGATTTAACTATTTCTGGAGTCATCCAAAGAAAGCACAATTGTTTATCCAAAGTCATCACTGCTAAATGGCAGCTGTTTGTATATTACTGAGTTTTCTTCTTTGTTGACTTCTCAGCCTTTTTTGTTACCTCCTGTCCTGCTAATTAAAAAACACTCAAAGTTACTAAGATTGTCTTCTTCGAAGTATTTCCTAGTAAGTTCTGAAGAACAGAAGCTTTCTGGAAGCTCTGGATCATAGAGATGTATGCAAGCTATGCTGGGTGCTTGTGCTCTCGTTGTTAAAGTGCACTTAATTTAAGAAGTTGAAAGCGTGAAAAGTTTAAATTACCCAGAGCTGCTCAGCAGGTTGATTTGCAAGCCAAGCCACTTTCTGGATTATTTATTGTTTCTACTAATCCTTCTCATCCATTTGAATTTTAAATGATGATAGTTTGCTGGTAACCTATCGGTACTTTTTTTGGATGGTTCTGTATGATAAAAGTCAAAGGCACACTTAGACATTTGTATCTTCAACTCAGAACTTGGTATTTTCATTCAGTCACTCAGCACTATAGTTGAATCTAGTATTTTGGGCACATCATTAGATAATTTTTTTTCAAAAATGTTAAAATGCCCAATTTTCTAAAGTTATATGCAAATTCTTTCACATGAGGCAAATTTTTAGTTTTAGGCCTTTTATTCTGCACACAAATTCAGAATTTTAAATATCTGGGACAAATTCCTTAGAAGATTTATTCTGGTAATGCTGTACCATTTTCTTATTAAAATTTTCTGTTATTTTAATAGTCTTCATTAGCCTCTTCCATTAGTGTAGTGACGCAATTAAGGTTCGTGTACTTGAACACACCTTGCACTGACTCCATGTCAGCATCTGTCACCACTTTGGCAATAGGGATGTGGCAGAGGCTATTGGATTTGTTTCTGCTGCCTGGGTCCTGGGGTTTTTTGTTTGTTTGTTTGTTTATTTTGTCCTGTCACTAGGCTGGAGTGCAGTGGCACGGTCCGGGCTCACTGCAACCTCTGCCTCCTGAGTTCAAGCAGTTTCCTGCCTCAGCCTCTCAAGTAGCTGGGGCTACAGGCACACGCCACCACACCCAGCTAATTTTTGTATTTTCAGTAGAGACGGAGTTTCACCATGTTGGCCAGGATGGTCTCGATCTCCTCACCTCGTGATCCGCCCGCCTTGGCCTCCCAAAGTGCTGGGATTACAGGCGTGAGCCACCACACCTGGCTGGGTCCTGGGTTTTGAAGCTGCTGTGACATCCCCTGTCTGTGGCTGGGCTAGGTCTCTAGGAGCTAATAACAATGGGATAGGTGGTCCTATTGCTTTTCATTATTACTGTAGCTGTGGGACTCAGAAAAGTCCCCCCCTTGCAAAAGTGGGGATGGGCAGAGCTCCAGGAAAGGTTCCAGGGGTCTTGGCAACCTCTGCCTAGGATATTAAAGTTTAATTTGCTTTTACTCTTAGGTTCTATAGTAGGAGGATCTATAATAGGAAGCTGTGGATCAGAATATGACTACTTTTATTCTGATGAGGAAGCAATAGAAGCTGACAATGAGGGTGATGCTGAGCCCTGTGACGAAGAAAATGAAGATGATGCAGAATCAAATATTGGGACCAATATGGGCTGGGCAGATGCCATGGCTAAAGTCCTCAACAAGAAAACTCCTGAAAGTAAACCTACTATTCTGGTCAAAAATAAGAAGCTGGAAAAGGAAAAAGAAAAGTTAAAGCAAGAAAGACAAGAGAAAATAAAACAGGTGTGTTCCACCAGTTGTCTTGTAGATTAGATTGTTTGTCTAGGCTAGTTGTTATCTTGGCTGAACCCTTCCTTGCAGTGTTTTTCCAACTAACATTCCAGTTTTTAATTTGATTTTTATGTTAAGATGGATAACTAAGGTTATGTTTAGGAATTTAGCCTAAATTACTCCATTGAGCATGTTCACGTTTTAATCATCTAGGCAAAGGCAAACTAATGGAAATGTAAACGCTGGGGAAACATGTTTTTATTTTTATTTTATTATGATTTATTTATTTATTTATTTAATAGGGATGGGATTTCACCATGTTGGCCAAGCTAGTCTCGAACTCCTGACCTCAGGTGATCCATACCCCTCGGCCTCCCAAAGTGCTGGGATTACAGGCATGAGCCACCGTACCCAGCCAGTTTTTAAAATCAAGAATTATACATGTGGCAGTGATTCCTGAGCCTATTTTATTTGTTTTAGCTGTCTGTATGCTGACTTTATTAGGTTTTGAACTAAGAAGCATGTTGGTTACTTTTTGCCAAAACTTATTTTATAACAGAAATCTGTGAAGATGTCACAACTCAGGGATTGGTTGCAGTTCTGCAACTGATTATTTCAATGTTAGATACAAATCAGTGTTGGATAAATTTGAATTCATTATGCTTTTATAATCTATTAATTAAAGGCCAAAAGTTGGACATAAATTTGTTGTATATTATAATAACTAAAAATAAGGTTTTCATATCACTGTACTTGATGATCTCTGTCAAAAATACATGGTTACTAAAACATGCATTATTTTTTAATGAAAGAAAAATAATTTTTTACAAATGTACTGGCGGCATAGAAGTACTGATTCCCAAAGTTATTTCATAGGTAAAAATGAAAGAAAAATAGGTTTGAATTGGCATATATTTCCTTTTATGTTTACTGTCTCCTTATCTTGTTTCAAGATGAATGTTTTCTTTGTTCTTAGTACTGGTTGCTCTGTGTGAAAGATGGAAATTTTTAAGCATTGCTGTTAGAAACACAGCATATTCTCTTATTAATTCAGTATTCTCATTGTGTTTTATTTAAGATACGTTTTGTCTTTGAATCTTGCAGATAGCTTTTCAAATGAAAATTTGAATCTTTGTTTATTATCTGGCAAATGCTAGAAGAGGCTTCAACAATATCAGAATCTTTGATTTCCTCTGGTCCCAGAGTTCTAGTGAGGGTAAGAACACTTTGAAGCCAAGAGGAATGAGTCTGTAACTCTGCTCTAGGCCAAAGCTTTGAGCGCTAGAGATGATACTGGCTCCATAAAGCGTGAACGTGCATGTGTTGATACCAGAAACAAGACACAGCAGCTACAAATGCTCTTTGTGTATATTTCTTAGAAGAGTATATGTAAATTATCATTTCCTAATGTTAACCATTAAATTTTCTAGTATATCAGCTACTTATTTCTAATCATAAATACAAAAATAAATTTCAGAGTTAAAAGTGTTTCAGGATTAAGCATACCTATTATCCTTTGAGTACTGAATATAATTTAAAATTGACTGTTTCAAACTTAAAAGTAAGATTTAAAAAAAAATTTCTGTCATAATCTGACAGTGAATTTCATGACCACTAAAATGAATTGTCTGGTTTGAAGACAAATCTATTTCTTTAGAAAGCTATCAGGCTAATCTTTATAGTGAGAGCAAGAATTTGGTTTTACTGGTATTAGACGTTTTCATTAATAAAAAATGAGAAATAGATTAGTAGAGAAAATAGATAAAAAGAGAAATTTTAATAAAAATGTCTTTATTACTGGCTTTGATGCTTTTGATGCTTGCCAGCTTCTTGGTGATTAATTCATTATATCATTATATTTGATATTTGGTTAAATGTTGGCCTGAGAAGGAGACATGAACAAGCAATGTATCAAATCAGATTCCTGGGACCCGGATACTACTTAAAGACAAGTTCAAACTAAATTATGTCATCTATGGGATTTTCTTATTTCCCACCTCCTCTTCTGCTTCTGTACAGTTTGCTATAGTTTCCAACTGATATGCCATATATGGCAAGAATATTGGTCAGATATGCTATGAGAAGAGAACTGGATTTAAATGATTTTGTGCAAAGAAATACTAGTCATCGTATAAGTATCTGGATATGATGCTGTTCTTTTAAAAGTGATACAATTTCCTAATAATAATTCTGATGACTGAGGAAGTCATTTCCTGAAAGTAAAGATGAATTCACAATTTCCAAAGAGTGTAGTTTGGAATCTTCTTTATGCTTTCCTCAGATAGTCTGGCGATGGCAGAGCAGGCCTGTGGGCTCCCTCATACCCTGTCTTGTACTGCCTGGCCAAATATGCTGGCAGCTCTCCAGGCCCTGCTGTCAGAGGCCTGACAGAAACTCACTTTGTGCCTCTCGTATGACACGCTGAGTGCTAACCACAGGCTCTTGAAGCTGAACCCCTAAAATGGTGTTTTTTTTTTACAGTCCCAATGACAAACTAAGCCAGAATGATTTATTACCTTCACCCTTTCATAGAGTATCATACCGATGTTTGCTGCACTTTCAGAAATATCTAATATTCTTTCACATAACAATATTTATAACACAGCGTGATAGGAGGATGGAGTGGGAAATGATGTGCAGAGTAAAGCCAGATGTTGTCCAAGACAAGGAGACCGAGAGAAACCTTCAGAGAATTGCAACGAGGTAAGACAGTGTTTTTGCCCTTTAAAAAATAAGTGTACTAAAGCTTTGTTATGATTCTATTTTTGACCAGATTTGATTCTTAAACTCAGCCTTCTTAGAGCCAAGTGATAAATATCTAAGCCTGCCCGTTTAACACTGAGTTAAACCAAAGATTTTGCAGGTCTCATGAGGCAAGAATCTAATGTGCTAAGTGTATATTTGGTATGAACCTATTTTGGATCATCTTGTTTTTATAGTCGCGAGGACTGTGTAATCAGACCTCTTACTGCATTTCTCTTATGATGCCTGTCTAAATTTATGGCACTCGATGATTTTTATCTTGCATTATATTTATGACATAATACATTACACATTATAGCTACTTCATGCTATCTTTTTACTCCGCTTATTTAATCATTGGCACCAAACATTTACTCGTTGCCCTCTGTGTCCAAAGATAAATAGGGTATGGTGGCTGCTGGGTGGTCTTTGCCTGGTCATCTGTAGAATTACAGTCTCTTTGAGGATAGACTTATGCCTATGTGTTGGGAACATAGAACAGAAGATTGTCTGGGAGAGTTTGAAAAGGCATTACAGAGGAGATAACATTTGAGCTGCTACTAAAGAATGTAGCAGTTGTACTTGGCAGAATTACTTTTAAATTCTTGTTACCTAAGTTATTTTGGTCATTTTCTAATCCATCTACATATTACACAGTGTGATAGTGTGGTGTGGTAAATAAGGGCATGAGTAATAGGGCCAGACTGCTAGGTTCAAATCCTAGCACTGGCTCTTACTAGCAGTGTGTCTCTGGGCATGCTACTTAATTTCTTTTTCTCTCAGTTTATCTGTGAATAAGTATACTATACCTAGCGTATAGGGTTTCTTTGATAGTTAAGTGGATACATATACAGAACTTAGAAAAGTACAGGATCAGTACATGAGAGTGAATGCCTCCTTAAATTTTATGTCCTAGGCACCTCCCTTTCCTCACCCTGGTCCAGTCACTGCTGTGAAGGGTCTGGAATTTTACTCTCCTTATAAGTTTATAAGCTAGCCTGTGAAAGTTTATCCTGGACGCTGGTAGAAGACAAGACACTTTGAGTCAAAGACAAAGGACTTTATTACTCATGGCAAAAGCAGTAGCAGAGCTTCACATTCCCACTGTTTCCTGTGTCCCATAGAGGGAGTGCTGGTGTCCCAGATGGATGCCTGCATGTGCAGTATGTTGTGTTATAAGAGTTGGAACACTGTGCTTGGGAATCTATCACTTTTATACTGATTGGTAACTAGCCTGCTCTTTGTCTGGGGGAGACGTTACTTCATTCCTCAGAGTCACTTTCTACAAACAACCCTGAGAAATGGCCTGGATAAAGAGCAGTCAGGTGCATTCATTCTTAAAAAATCCAGCAAGCATATGCAGGGATGCTGAAGGCCCAATAATTACTGGAAGGTTGCCTCTTCCAATAATTATTAGCGAAAGAAAGTTCATAGACTGCAGAATTTTAGAGCTGGAAGGGATCGTAACAGTCTAAATCAGTGCTGTCCAGGAGAAATGAATGTGAACTATATTCATTCGTAATTTAATATGTAGTTTAAAATGTTCTTGTTGACACAATGAGAAATGTAAAATGAAAGAGGTGAAATTAATTTCAATATTTTATTTAACTGTATTCCAAATATTCATCATATCAGTATGAAGCAGTTATTAATGAGATTTAAGGATTCTGCTTTTCATACTGAGTCTTTGATATCTGGTGTGTATTTTCATTTATAGCGCTTGGAATTCAGACCAGTCACATTTCAAGTGCTCACTAGCCATTTGTGGCTTGTGGCTCCTGTATTGGATGCTGCAAGTCTTAATTTTCAGAATTTATCTTTGACTGAATTCAAATAAATACAGAACATAGTTTTTAAAATAAGTATTTTATAAAGTAGGATTTTAAAATAGTTTAATAACACAAGTTGCAGATAATATAGCTGAATACCTTTTAAGCTACTCAGGTATAATTTTTCCAATTTACAGATGAAATTGAGATCCAGAAAAATCTTTTCTGGGGTCAAGCACAAAGTTATGTACCAATCTACATTTGTTATCTGTTCAGAAACTTATATTCATTCATTGAAGTATATATTCAGTTTTCAGATGTATTTAACCATTTATCCAGCTCTTTCATTTGAGTACTTGATAAATGCTTGCCTCTTTTCTAGACAGTGAAAATACATTTTTCCTATCCTCAGAGTTTGTATCTCATGTAATTATTTAACTGCATTGCTCTGGTCATTTTATATTCTATAGAGGTGTGGTACAATTATTCAATGCTGTTCAGAAACATCAAAAGAACGTTGATGAGAAGGTTAAAGAAGCTGGAAGCTCTATTAGAAAGCGAACTAAGTTGATATCAACTGTTTCCAAGAAAGATTTTATCAGTGTTTTGAGAGGAATGGATGAAAGTACAAATGAGACTACCTCAAGCAAGAAGAAACCAAAAGCCAAACAGGTAAAAGTTCTATTTAGGATTCAATGTATCAGACTTTCAGCTCTAAGACTAAGAGTCTTGAGATGGAAAAGCAGATTATAGAATTACAGAGGTTTTTTTTTTTTTTCCAGATTTTATTAAAATTCCTCCCTGCCCACAACCTTTAGAGATAGGGCGTGCATCTCTCCTACCTGAAATCCTGCCATTTTGCTCATTTTGGAGAATAGAAGCATGTGTGGGCCACAGTTTTAATTTCAGACCTCTACCCATAGAAGTAATTGTGATGGTGTGTAACCTGTAAAATATGAAGAGTCAGAGATGGTAGAAAGCCATTCTTGCATGGAGGCATCTTTAGTAATGTTTGACTGGTTGCAAGATTAAGAACATAAATACTCTCTGTGACCTTTGGCATGATAACTTTGCTTCTCCAGCTCTTTGGCCTGTGGACCTCAGTAGTAGTTTCTTTTCTTCTTCTTTTTTTTTTTTTTGAAATGGAGTCTCCCTTCTTCGCCCAAGCTGGAGTGCAGTGGCACAATCTCAGCTCACTGCAACCTCTGCCTCCTGGGTTCAAGAGATTCTCCTGCTTCCTCCCAAGTAGCTGGGACTACGGGTCCCAGCTAATTTTTGTATTTTTAGCAGAGATGAGGTTTTACCATGTTGAGCAGGCTGGTCTTGAACTTGACCTCAGGTGATCCGCCCACCTCCGCCTTCCAAAGTGCTAGGATTACAGGCGTGAGCCACGGCACCCAGCCAGTAGTTTCTTTTTACTGTACCAGGTGAAAGGTTTTGAAATGTGCTTTATAGGGGGTGGGTTTTATAGGGTCATTGTTTTAAAAAATCAAAGTATGCAGTTGTATTTTGATGGCTTGATTTCTGTTGGCAAAACCTAAGGTGCTTTTAATCAGTCAGGAAATGAGAGTTTCTGTCATCAATTTTTTGTTTGTGTTTTGGGAAGAGAATTGAAACCCAGTCAAGAAGAGCATTTAGAAATTTTATGCTAGCCTAGGGTTGGAGCATTTTTTTAAGTTTCTTGTTTAAGTTGAATTTCACCTAACTTTGGCTAAAATTTTTGAAACTATTTGTCTCATTTTTAATATCAAAGGGCTCAAATAGTATATTTATATAATAATAGTTCTCTCTAGTGCTGCTATTTTAAAATGTCTATCAGAAGTACTTGTAAATAAACACTCTGTTTGGGGATTTATACTTTTTACTTCAAAAGCCTTAATAGGCTGTATTCTCACTAGTAACATTTTACTGTAAGAGCTACGAAAAGATTCAGCAGCATTGGATGGGAAAGAACTAGTGGGAAGATGAAAAGACTTATTTTTTTTCTTTTTCCAGTTGGTTTCAAAATAACATTTTATAGAAGCACATAATTTTGCTTTGGGCTTATTTCTTTCATGAGTTATGAAAATGCACAAGGGATTCCTTCCACTGTCATTGTTTTGTTGTTGTTGTTTTTGTTTGTTTTTTACCATTTGCACTTGCCCTTGACTTTCTTTTTTTCTACTTCAGTGATCACAGTATTTATAAATCTGGGACAAGGTCAAAAATTGCTTGAGACTTAAGCCAAAGTGGTTTTGCTCTAAAAGTAATTTGTTTCTAGAACTCCTTGTCCCATGCCACCAATACCCTGACACATTTCTTTCTTTTAAAAATGTATGTTTTCTTTTTGATTTCATATTTACGGAAAAACAGACTCCTTTTTAAAAAATTTTGCTTGAGTTTGCATCTGAATAACTATGAAAGTACTATACTATTTATCAAACATATTTATTAAGTGCCGGTTTCTACCAGGTACTATCTTTTTGTCCTTTAAAGTCTTACAATTAAGATGGACAAATGACTTCAAGTAAAGTAAGCAAGATTCACTTGATAGTGGGCAAATTCTAAATTAATATGCCGAGTACACGTTAACATCAGTTACACCAGCTCTAACAAAATGTAAGTTAAATAGCTACCCCTGTGTGTGGGGGAATTTCAGAGCAACTGCTACTATTTATTTAGAACATAGATGATTATATCTATGTATGTTACTTGAAATAGGTGAACTTTTAAGGCAGTTCAAGGAAAGGCAGTGTGGCAAAGGTGAGCATAGATTTGGTGTGCCCAAGTGCTATTTAGAAATGAATCGTTGAATGAATTGGATTAAGGAGGATATTAAGTAAGCAGAAAATAACATTTGCCATTTTTTTCTTATAGCACCATAGCTATTATATTCCTAATAGATGTTCCTTGTTTCATCACAGAATGGAACAAAAGGAATCTGATTGTTGTCCCTTCCCTGGGCTGCAGTGATATTCAGAGCACAGATATTTTTAAATTCATATTCCTAATATTGTGAAATCTCTAAAATTAGAGGCCACCCACATATAAACTAGATTCACTGACAGCTGTCTATCAGGATACCAATTTGGAAACACCTTCATTTTAATGACTTCAATTCTTTTTCCCAGTTATATGTGTTATTCAGTTTTGATGTTAAAGTCGTATATTCAATAATCAAGAGAGGCAGGAGTTTTATATTAAAGTAAATCTGGATAAAATAATAATAATATTACATAGGTTATGTAGGTTGAGCCCATTATAAGTGACCATACTTTAGGAGTGGTTTTGGTGTTTTGTTTGGTTTTGTTTTCTCCTAATTTAGACATGACTTGGGAATTTATTTTAAGAATGCTTTTTTTTTAAAAAAGAATGTTTATAGAAATTTCATATTTCTTCAAGATATAAGAAACAGACATTTTGACAAATGTTTTTTAACTGTGGTAGGGCCCGAACAAGTCATTTTTCTTAGAATCTTTTCTGCATTCGAATTTTAAAATTCTATTATCAAAGCAATAGGAGCATAGTATGAAAAATGAACTTATGATTAAATAAAATAACCACTGCCCTTTTCCGTTCTTCTCTACACCTTGGCAACTCTTAGTTCATTCTTCTAGTATTTATCTCCATATCTTAAATAATATTTACATTATTTCTTTCTCAATACTAGATACTATCTTTTATAGAAAATAAAATTGGTTTTTCTCATACCTCTCCACATTCTGTCCTTCAAACATAATATATTAAAATATGCTAGATTAAATACTAGTATTCATTTGTGAATATTGTTCACTGCTGAGCAAAATAGTATACAATAATATTTACTTTCTTGAGCTTTCTTACAATGTTTATTTTCCTAGAGTTATTACTTGCCTTTTTTTTTTCTTAGTTTTGTATGTGCCAAAATCCTTCCATACTCTTCAAACGAACTGTTAAGCCCTTCTCAGTAGTATATTTCTTGTGGTCATCTTGCTGCTACAATCTAAACTGGTTGTTCTTTACCTGCTGTGCACTATCATTTTGCAACATTTCTTTATTCCCTTCCTATTCCATTTGCCTCTCTCCTATGCAGTATCCTCTGTTTTTTTTGGACTAAATGTCTTCTGTTCTCTTGGCTTTCTTCTGCATTGTAGTGATGGCACAGTCATCAGCATTCTGGGAGAGGGCATAGGTGTTGTTATTTTTTATTGGTATACTGGCCTGATAGATGGCCTCCAATATTTGGGAAAAGGGTTTTTGCAGATGCAGTTAAGTTAATGATCTCAAGATGAAGGGTAATTCTGAATTATTCAGTAAGGCCCTAAGTCCATTGACAAGTGTGCTTAGACACACAGGAGAGATTTGACAGACAGAAGCAGAGCAGGCAGTGTGACCATGGAGGTGTAGGTGGGAGGGATGTGGCTGCAGGTTAAAGAATACCATGAAACACCAGAGGCTGGAGGAGACAGCAAAGGATGGGTTCTCCCCTGAAGCTCCAAGAAGGAGTAAGGGTTTGCCAGATACAGACTTCTGGTCTCCAGAACTGTGAGACAGTAAATTGCTGTTGGTTTCAACTACCAAGTTTGTAGTAATTTGTTATGGCAGCCAAGGAAACTAAAAGAACATAGGTGTCCATGTTGGAAAGTAAGTTTCTCTCAGAAATTTGAGAGAAATTTTCTCTTTTATTTTTTGCCATTGAGGGATTCAGTGCTATTCTGCTTTCTAATTCCTCTCTTTTTGGAACCTCTTAAGATATTCTCTATCCCCATTCTTAAAAAATTATAGCGACTAATTGGTAGTTACTAATTTTATTTTATTTATATTTTTGTGAGTGAGGCCTATGGAAAAAGATACTGTTAGTGGATGTGAGAAGAGATAAGAAAAATGATCCTTAGCCAATAAATAGAAATTTGGGGTAAAATGTTAAATTCAGTGGAGATTTGGTTCTATGGAATGAATCAGCTTACCACATACTTCATTTAGAAACAAGAAGAGAAACCCTTTGCCAAACTGTTTTAGTAGCTGTTCTGGGTGGTACATATATTGCTCATAAAATTAGAAAATTGTAACATTGGAAAAATTGTGATGTGGAGATATTCATAGTAAATGTGACTCTCAGGAGGAATGTACTTTAGAAGAATATAAGAAACTTAACTTTGATTTTAAAATGGCATGAAGTAAACATGGTAAGGGGGAAAAAGCCTACCAGTTCTCTAGTTTTTCAGATTTCTTGTAATTTTCTTTTCTGTTTTCTTCCATGGAGGTTAGAATAGAGAATGTTTGCTGATGGGTGGGAAGTTAGGAAAAGGGATTCTGAGGAAGTAAGTTGTCATCAGATTTGAAGTCTCCTATCTTCTCTTGAGGAATCTGGACTTTGTTCCTTACATATTTGGAGGCCAATGCCATGAAGTAAGTGATGTGATCAGAACTGTTTTTTCTTTCTCTTTTGATTTATTTCAGCTTTTATTTTAGACTAAGGGGGTACATGCACGGGTTTGTTATAGGAGTAATATTGTGCAATGCTGAGGTTTGGGGAATGATTGAATCTGTTGCTCAGATAGTGAAGATTTCATTATTAAGGAAAATCAAGGGCTGATGGAAAAGTCAGAAGACCAATTAGTGGGAACCAATTGCCATTATCAAAGCAAGGAGGAGAGGATTTGAACTAAGATTGTATGGGATAAAGTGGGTTGGGGTGAACAGAAAAGAGGAAT